CAATTTGCTCATCAATGGGGTACCTCCACGAAATTAGGGTTTCTGGGACTCAAGGGGGATCAAAGAGGCTGGGGAGGAAACATAATGATCTTTATATAGGGCTCATTCCCCGGATTTAGGGTTTTTTTCACCCAGCACCTACTCGCCGAGTCCATCTTTGGACTCGCCGAGTAGGCCACTTGACACGCGACCAAAGTCGCGACTCTACTCGCCGAGTCCATCCATGGACTTGCCGAGTCGCCCTTCAAGATTTACACTTTTAGCCCTTCAACTCTACTCTTGCTATTCCGGGATGTTACAAATTCGTTAATAATCTTCATCATAAAAACATTTTATATTTAAGACAAAACTGCAAAATTGGTCCTTATGGTTTGCAAAAAACTTTGGATAGGGTCCAAAAAGTTTTCAACTGGCATGAAAGGTCCAAAATCAAACACTTTTTGTGATTTTGGTCCAAAAAAACTTGAAAAGATGATTATGCCCTTTTATTTTTTATTTTGTATTTTTTACAATTATCCTAATACTATTTTACTTTAAAAATAAAAAGAAAAATGAAGAATTATCCCTTACCCCCACCCACCCCCACCGTTCTCTCTCTCTCTCTCTCTCTCTCTCTCTCTCTCTCTCTTAAAGAAAAAGTCGAGAAAAATCCCGATCCATCTTTTTCTTCCCCTTCTTAATTAGATTTTCTGGGTTTCGAGTACTTGCAAATTGTCCAAAATTAGTACTTGCTCCCTCTTCAAATCGTTATAACCAACACATACAAAGAACACATATATACATAGGAGGTGGAGAAAGTATCAGATACTGAGTCAATTCTAATAAATAATCAAAATAGAGGGAAAGGATCGAGACTAGTTTGCCTCCTTGATATTCAACTAATTCTGGTTCTGCTACTTCAATAATTGCACAATTTAACCATATCCATAAGAAACTGATTATACAAGAAGCAAATTCATTTGTGAGATTGTGTTTTCTCCATTTCTCTGTCTGGTCCTTGCTGCCCTCCACCACCATTGGAAACCTCCTTGTCCCTTCATCTTCTCCATTTTTCTCTAGCTCTACTCCTTCATTGACTATCAAATCCACAAAACTGATGAGTATTTCTTGTTTCAGGTGGGTTTCTTGAGTATTTTAGGTTTCTGATGGGTGTGGTGAAGGCTTTCATTGTTTCCCTTAAGGAAATCTCAGTGGTAACCACTGTGTCCGCTCAAGCGATGACCCTTGCACCTTCCCCTGACACTGGAGTTGCCTTTCCATCCCGGTTTCTAGAGTAATGATTTACCAGTTTCTGGAGTAATGATCGAAACATATCTACTTCTTTCTCTACTTGCTTTCTTCAAGAATTGATCAGAACATCACTAGAGATTTCTAGAAGATTGATTTTATCTTTGAGTCCCCACTTTGCTCTCCTAATTCTAATAGTTTAAATGGTAGAATCAAGGTTACCTTTTGAATCAGAGTGAATGGAGACGACGAGTCTTGTTGCTAGTGGTGAAAGTTGACCCAATAACCTTCATTATCAATTTTACTAACTTGAAACATTGTCGCCTCCTATTCCATTGCTGTGAACCACCATTGATGGAACCCTAGAATCACTTGACTGAGTGAATTCAAATAGTGAAAATGACTGCAATTTGATCAAGAAAAAAAATTTGAATAGAAGTAAGACACATGTAAGGCGGCTGTGGTAGTGGCTTTAGGGCGACGATAGTTGTGGGTTCAGGGCAGTGACGGTCCTGTGGTGGTGGATTAAGGTCCTGTGTTTTAAGTTTTTGACTTTTTGTTTAAGAGATAGAGAGAGGAAGAGAGGAAGATGGAGAAAAAGAGAGAACAATGGGGGTGGGTAGGGGTAAGGGGATAATTCTTTTTTTTCTTTTTATTTTTAAAGTAAAATATTATAAGGATAGATATAAAAAACACAAAAAAGAAAATAAAAGGCCATAACTGTCTTTTTAAGTTTTTTTTGGACCAAAATCATAGGAATTTTTGATTTTGGATCTTCCATGCAAGTCGAAAACTTTTTGGACCCTATCCAAAATTTTTCGCAAACCATAAGGACTAATTTTGTAGTTTTGTCTATATTTAATTAATGTTCATCATAAAAGCATTTTATATTTAATTATTGTGATATTTTTCCTAATTAATACTGCCTATAGGGACCATTTCTGCATATCTTCTTTTTAATTTTATTGAAGTATTATATATATATATATATTAGTTTTTTTAATTATTTTCTTTAATTTTTTTATTGGATTATTATATATTAATAAATATTACTTTTAATATATAATATTTAATATATTCATAATAATATTATTTTATAAAGAGTATCGATTTCTTTTAATTAATTCGTTTATAATTTTTTATTGGATTATTATATATCAGTAAATATTATGTTTAATATATATATATATATATATATATATATACACACACTAGTTTATAACCCCTGGGAACCACGGTTATAAAATTAATTAAACTTTTATAGTAAAAATTCAAAATTATTAATCAATTAATTTAAATAATTTATTAAGTTAAGAGATATTTTTTTAGTTATGCGAAATTATAATCGTTGATTCAAATAAATAAATAAAAGAGTAAATTACACGAATGGTCCCTATGGTTTGGGGTAATTTGCACGTTTGGTCCCTAACTTATTTTTTGTAACTCGGAAGGTCCCTACTGATTGTTTTTATTACGTGTTTGGTCCATATTGTTTGTTTTTGTTGCAAGCTTGGTCCGTATCATACCTAAAAATACTATTATTTAAATAGGAAAAAATGATAGGGTACGTAAGGTAAGGTGAGAAGGGTGAGATTAGGTGTGTTTTTATTTAAATAAATTAAAAAATAAAGGGAAAATAGACTTTTTATGTAAGACAGGGATCAAGCGCGTAACAAAAACAAACAGTAGGGACCTTCCGAGTTAAAAAAAATAAGTTAGGGACCAAACGCACAAATTATCCTAAACCATAGGGACCATTTGTGTAATTGTATATATTAGACATTTTTTATTTGTGAATTAATGAAAACATTAATATAAAATTTAAATTATAAAATAGAGAATAAATACATTGACAAATAGCATCAAATTAATGAGGTGGTCTAAAAAATTTAAAATGGACAACTTATTGACAAGTGGCAACACATTAATTAAGAGGTCTAATATGATGACACATCGCAAAAGAACTACTCTTTTATTAGTGTAGGGATTTGAAAAGGCAATAACATTAAAGGGACACACCCAATAAGGATCTGGGAGGCACAAAACCAACAATTTCATAGGTTTGATAGCTAATTTAGGAGAAGAAAACCAAACACTCCCATCTATCATCACTTTTAACAACCTACTATCAATCCAAAGAAGAGAGTCCCTTTGGATAAGGATGAAAATATCCTTTGCCCTTCTCACCTGAGATCGAAAAGTGGCCTCATTCCAACTCCTCCAAAGATTAATAAAATTTGCACACCTGACTGCGAATAGAGCTTTTCTTTGCAAACAATCATCAACAACATCCTCAAGCCATCGAAAGAAGTCATCTATAGAAACAATATCACGACTGTTGATACTCCACCAAGCTTGTACTTTAACCCACACCTCTTTAGCCAAAACACAATCTTTATACACATGAAAAATGGACTCCTCACTAGACTTGCACACCTCACAAATAGTAGATCCATGATTAATACCCATTTTTTCCAATATCGTTTTCACAACAATTCGATTATTAATCAGTCTCCATATATATATATATATATATATATATATATATATATATATATATATATATATTACTTTATGGGATTATTAACTTCTTTTAGTTATTTTTTTTTTACTTTCTATTGTATTAATTTTTTTGTCGGACCGAGTTTGAGACATATTTTGGACAAAACCATAATTTTCGGACCGAGTAATATTTATGATGCTGTCTAAAATATGCGATCATCCGGAATGACCATTCCGGACGAAGTGGTTATTTTTGCTAAAAAAATTGGTTATTTTCATCAAAACCATTAGTATGTTGTTAGATTACTTAATTTCCCGTTTACTAATATACAATAATGCAAATAAATATTAAAAAAATTAATTATAAATATTAGTAGTCCGATAAAATAATATTCATTAATATATTAATATTATATATGTAAAATAGTACTTATTCATATATAAAAATTAAAATAAATGAATAAATATAATAAAAAGTTAAAAAAAAAAAAAGAAATTAGCTAAAAAAAATTATTCTAACAAAATTTCAAGAACAATGTCCCAAAACCCATATCTTCTAATTTATTTTAAATATATGATAGATAACATATTTTGGACAGCACCACCACTATCACTTGATTCGAAAATGATGATCTTGTCCAAAATATGTCTCAAAAATGTGTTCGAAAAAAAGAATTAATACACTAGAAACTAAAAAATAATAATTAAATGAAGTTAATAATCCCATAATGTAATGATCATTAATAAATATAAATATTTAGTATTACAAATAATATTTGTTAATATATAATAATCTAATAAAATAGAATTAATCCAATAAAAAAGAAATTAATTAAAAATTATCAATACTCCAATAAAATAATATTATTAATACATTAAATATTATATATTAAAAATAATATTTATTAATATGTGATAAGCCAATAAAAAAATTTATTAAATTAAAATAAATTAAAAAAATAGCATATAATACTTCAATAAAATTAAAAAGAAGATATGTAAAAATGATCATTAGAGTTTGGTAAAAAGACTTAATTACATAAATGATTTTTAAAGTAAAATAATCATTTTAAAAAAGTTAACAGTGAACCTGTTAAAGTTAACAACATAATGATTAAATCCACGTAAAATATTCAAAATCAAACCACTAATAAACCTCTAAACATTTTTGGACTAAAATCATATAATTTTAACGATTAGGGACCATTTTTGCAATTTTGTCTTATAGAAAAGACATTCTGATTTTTTCACTGGTTAAAAAACCCGGTTTAGGTTGTGCACCTCCGCGCCCTAATATCCGAATTTCTCACTTGCATACCCGACCTGGAGCAAAACCCTACTAAGACCCCTCCCTCAGTTCTTGACGCAAAACAATGCAGAAAATTTTCTTGATACGGGATCTCAATTCGCTCTGCGCTAAATCGCCCTCCTTCAGTGCACACAACCCTCACTACAAAACCCCTTCATCACTCTCCTTTGCTTTTCATAATTTCTATACATCTAAATCCGAATCGTCTTATGAAACCTCTAATTCTCATCATCCAGAAAACGAAATTCAAGATGAGAATCCCGTCGATGTAGAGGATATCAGCAGTGCAGGTAAATATACAACACTATTTGCATTCCAATTAACCATATATTCTGTAACGTAATTGTTTTAATTGTATATACAAAGTTTGTTCTGAGTACCTTGGGCGTTTTTCCAAAATCATGCTAAAATTCTTCCAATTTCACCGATATCCCTCATCCCTCCATTTAATTTTTACTAGGGTTTTGTGCACATAACCTTCCGTGAGAACAAATCAATGAAAGTGGAAGTGGGATGCTATGAATATGATAAACAAATCAATGAAAGTGTGTTGCTATTTTTTCTGCATCTAACTCCTAAATGCAAACACGGATGCAATATTTTTGGTTGAAATGATTGAATATATAATCTGTGAACTGTTTTATGACAGATCTTAAAACACAGATAGACAAGTTTTATAAGGGAGATGTTGAAGCAATACCAGCTATTTTTGAATCTATATTGAAAAGAAAGTTATCAGGGAAGCATGAAGAGTCGGATGATGAGTTGATGAATGAATTCAGACATGATCAAACAAATGTAGTTAGCGATGAAGAGATGAATTCAGATTCATATTCAGACACTGATTCAGATTCTGATGAATAGTTAATGCAGTGATATGTTAGTGGACAGAAAATATATTTTAAAGAGTATAATTTTTTATGACATAACATGATAGAATGAGTTATATTATGTTTGACATATCCAACAAAAAATTGGAGAAAGGTGAGATAGTTTGGATCTTTCATTTGTGCAAAAGACATAAATGCCTTATTTTTGTGTTGATTTTGTTAACAATATCCAACGATCGGGGGTTCTATTTAGATTTAAAACTTTTATCCTTAAATTATTCATCAAACTTGCAAATTTGTTGATTGAATTTTCTTATGGTAACTCAAGTTATATATGTTGTAAAAATTTAAAAATAATAAATGTAAGATTTTGATTTTTTATTCGATTTGTTTAATCTAAAAAAGCTAAATATACGGAATATATGTTAGAATCAAAAAATGGCGATGATTAGTTTTAGATTTGAAAACAAAATTGTATTACTTATAAATATACCTAGAATGTGGAGTGCTTGACAATTTGGTGCTATTGTTTGCATCTTTTAAGTCGTTAATAAATAAAGTGTTTTAACTTGTTTAGCTGATTACAATAAAATTAGTTCAACCAAGTTTCAAGTTTTAATAGAAGAGACAACTTCTCTAGTATGTTACAAATTCTTCTTAACCATCAAAACCATGTTCGGCTTCTTTTCTAGAATGAGTTAATATCATTATAACCAATCAACCTATTTGTATTTATGATAATAAGTCCCTATTTTTTTTTTTAAATGTATTTAAGGTACCTACACTTGTCATAACTTGTTAGTTAGACCATTTTACCCGGTTTTACAGGTTAACAATAAAATTTGGCATGTTATTGGTAGATTTCGTCAGCTTAATGCCACATAGTGTTGATATAAGGGCATCCACAATGCATTGAACTCCATAGAGTTCAATGAATTGCCACATTATTTTTCTAAATTCCATACAACTCAATCAATTTTTTCCTACAATGCATTCAACTCTATAAAGTTCAATAGAAACTTACAAAAACTAATTTATAGTATGTATTTAAGATTAGAAAACTTTCATTTTTACCATTGAAAAGTTCAATGACCATTGAACTCCAAATCCATTGAATCCTAAGCTGACATCTCACTATGGTAGAATTTCATCCATTTAATAACACCTCATTCAACTCTCTCACCATAGTGGATGCTCTAATGCTTGAATGGATATCAATTTTCTTAAACCTATATCTTAGGTTTATATATTCAGAGGGTGTTTGGGATTTCTTCTAAAAAAACTTTTTTAATTTTTTGGCTTTTTCAAAAAACTAAAAGTTAGAAAAGATGTTTGGTAAATCTAAAAAGTTTTTTTAAAATAATTTTTTGATAAAAAGAAAAAAAATGGTTTTAAAAGTTAGGATTTGTGATTTTTGATAACTTTTGGCTTTTTAGTTCCCTTCTTTGAAAATTAATCCAAACATATTATAAAACTTTTTTTTTAAAAAAAAAAGGCTATAAGTCAAAAAGAGATTTTTTAGGATAAAAATCAATCCCAAACATCCCCTTAATGCATCAACACACATTCTTAGTTAATCCGCTGTACAACCACCGTCTTTAGAAATACATCACCACCATCTTTTATAGTTTTATGTTTGGCTTTTTGACTCAAAGCCAGTTTCTTTTTTGAAAATTTTTAACTATGTTTCGTTATTCACAACTATCCTCAATTAATTGATTAAATAATTTAAATCCATTTTTAGTATTAAGATATAATTGTGGAGCCTTCAACTAATATCTGAGATCTGAGTTTGGATCGGAGCATCCCGCTGGTCTCCACCATTCACTCACATCTAATATTGTCTCTTCTCATTTCTTGATGTATTGCAACCCACATTCGTTCCGAGCAAATCCCCATTTTGCAACGGTGGTAGGTTTTGATAAAATTTTCTGGACTCGTGTTGGGCAAACCCAAAATTTCGTTTTGAGAAAATATTGATATTTTTTAAATCGTATTGAAAAAGGCCAGATTTGCATTTTGAGCAAATCCTGATAATTTCTGAAAATGGTTTGAGCAAATCTCCATATTGCAGCGTTGATGGGTTCATATGTAGCAAATCCAAATTTTCGGTGGTTTTTGGGTTTGATTTTTGGGTTTTTGATCTGGATTTTAGGGTGAGATCTGGTTGGATTCGATTTTCTTGGTTAGATTTTTGGGTCCAATTTTGGCTGGGTTTGATACTTTGTTTCTAGAACTATACATTTTATATGGTCATTATCGAGTTGATTGTGGTGGATGGAGGTTTATGGATTGAATGTTTCATAGTACATGACGACGGTGATCGATGATTTCATATTTGGATATATTGGTGGTATATGGTGGTCGACAGTGGTTATTATATTGTTAGTTTCGTGGTTGGTAGGTGGTTGTGGATGCCAATAATATAAAGAAATCCAAATACATTAAAGAAATTAAAATAGGGACGAGCAAAAACCGAACCGAACAACCGAAAAAAACCCGACTTAATCAAAATTGAAAAACCAAAACCAAAGCAATAACCGACGCTTTAGGTTTCAATTTTACAAAAATCGAAAAATAATGGTTTGGTTCGGTTTTGAGGTATAAAACCACCCATAAAAACTGAACCGACCCACATATATATTATTTATATTATGATTTAAATTTTTAGTTTTAGACATTAAACTTTATCTTTTTAATATTTTATGTTTATTTTCAACAATTTTAATGGTGTTAAACTTTAATCTTTTGAATATTTTTATGTTTTTATAATACTAAAATTCGTACTCTTTATTTTAGTATATTTAAAGTAGATACAATAGTATTTATCGCAATGTATTTTCCTTAGGTTTGAATCCAAAAACTAGAAAAGAAAACAGAAGCTCATAAACTCACGGTTTAAAACCAAAAACACATAAACCCAACCCGGAAAACCGAAAAACCGACCCATGCAAAAACCGAACCTACATGGGTTTAAAAACCGAAAAATAGACTTTCTATAGTTTGGTTTGGCTTTAGCCAAAAACCGATTCAAACTAACCCATGCCCATCCCTAAATTAAAGTTATACTAGACTTGGAAATTAAAGTAAACAGTTAAAGAATTTGATTCAACTCAATGAGAGGAAGATGATTGACGTTAGAATTTTATTACGTGAACATTTGGTTAAAAAATCATTAGAATCTCAAGATGCAATACTTGAGTTCAAAATCTAACTTTGCTATAACAACTTATCAACTTAACTTGCCTCAACTTTTCTTAAATATTAAAATGGCAAGAGTAGTTTGATGGAGAATAGTGTCCATTAGGGTAGAGTGGGTCCAAACCCGGACCGGTAGACCTGGACCCGAAAAACCTAGGAACCGGTTAACAAGATTTTTTAGGACCGGAAACCGGACCAGTATATAGGAACCGATTCCGGTTCGGTTCCGGGTAAGGTACCAGGTAAAGTGAGTTTAGAATCGGAAAACCCGTAAATATCAAAGTGGGTCGAATGGAACCGGGTAAAGTGGGTCTAAAACCATGGGTCGAATGCATGTTTTAAAATTTCACAAAATACAAAAATAAAGCTGAGGAAAAAAAAGAAAATTTGCAGCTTTGATATCCCAACTTTGGGAGACTATAAATCAATGAGTATGAAACCAAAAATGACAAAATTCTAGTCTAAAATCATGTACAAACTCTATAGTACACACTTTGGAGAAAACCCCATGTAATTCCGATTTCAAACGAATTAGATATGCATGTTTTAAATCTATCACAAAATGCAAAGAAAGCCGGAAAAACATAAAATTTCCAGCTTTGATATCCCGACTTTGAGAGACTATAAGTCAATGAATATAAACCCAAAAATGACAAAATTATAGTATGAAATCATGTATAAACTATGGAAAAAACCTCATGACAATCCGACTTTAAATGAATGCGATATGCATGTTTTAAAACTATCACGGAATACAAAATAAAACTGAAAAACATAAAATTTTCAGCTTTGATATCCCGACTTTGAGAGACTATAAGTCAATGAATATAAACCCAAAAATGACAAAATTATAGTCTAAAATCATGTACAAACTATAAAATATACTATAGAAAAAACCTCATTCCAATCCGACTTTAAACGAATGAGATATGAATGTTTTAAAACTATCACAGAATAAAAAATAAAGTTGAAAAACATAAAATTTCCAGCTTTGATATCCCGACTTTGAGAGACTATAAGTCAATGAACATAAACCCAAAAATGACAAATTATAGTTTAAAATCATGTAAAAACTATAAACTATACTATGGAAAAAACCTCATGCCAATCTGACTTCAAACGAATGAGATATGCATGTTTTAAACTTTCCATAGAAACTGGTTCCAACCCCTAAAACCAGTTCCGGTTCTTAACACGGTTCCGGTTCTTAAACCCGGTTTACCCAGACCCGAAGGAACCGAAACCCGAATTACTCGGAACCCGGATAGACCCATTCTTTAAACTTGGGACCCATACCGGTTTTACATATTCCGGTTCTAACGGTTCCGGTTTCGGTCCGATTCCGGTTCCGGTCCGGTTTTCCGGTTCTAAATCTCATCCCTAGTGTCCATAGTCATAACAAGCCCGATAAAATTATTATAAATAAAAGTGTCCTAGGTTATACACAAGAACAAAATAAAGCATAAATGAAAAGATATTTTTTATAGACTTATTTTGTTAATTAATTAATTCTAAATAAAGTAATATGAAATATTTCAGAATGATTTGAATACCATAAATAATCACTATTATATTTGGTAATTATCTTTAGGTTTTAAACCATCTCCCTCTAAATAAAGGTGCCAAATCTCGGTTTTGGATGAATGAAAAACTTAGCTTTCTTACTCTAAAAGTCGGAACTCTTGAGAAAACCCTAGAAAACCCGAAGGCTCTATCTTATGACATGCTACTTATTCTACCACGTCATGAATATGAACAGTGTCATCGATTTAAGCTTGCACCGTGTTGCTTCGTGGCGGGGTGTTTAGATTTAATGGAGTTTTGCATCTTGCGTGTGATTACAAGAGAGGAACTCTACTTTGGGTTATCTAGACCAGTCTACTGGCTTGTCAAAAGAAGAAAACTACGATGGAGTTAAAGGTATGTTTCTTGTCCTATTGTCTTATAAATAATTTGCATAGATTATCAGAGTTTAGATCCATTAGTTTCGAGTGTTAGTTCAGATTTCTTTATTGTTTCCACTGCCATATGTTTGATATAATAAAGCTCAAAACCCATCAGTGGTATCAGAGTGTATGACTAACTTAAGTC